ATCTTACCTGTTAAGATCATCACTATTCTTAAGGATTGGTGGAGGCTTTCACCAATCCTGATGCTGTATCTGTGTTGCTTTTGTCTACCTGTAAAAATCATATGAAAAGAATAAACGCTGCCCAAGGAGTCAGACATCCTGCACAATGACTGATCTTTGAAATCCATCAACCCCCTGCTCAGGACACCCTATACCATTTCAAACAAATAGTTGTCCTTTCAATTTAATCTCTGACTCTCATTCTTTTAATCTTCCAGGTGCTTATATCATGGCCAGGATTGACAATGATCTCATGACCTTATTTTTAACTTTGCAATGGCTACTATAAGACTGAAGACATTCGTAGTCACTCCCCGCTTCCTGGGCCTCTTTCTGTGGGCAATAGTTATGCTGATGCTGCTGTTCATATTTTAGCTACTTTGTTTTCAGATTTTTTTTTCAACAAGCCCTTGTCTTTGAAAACTGATAACGGGCCAGCCTATTCTTCATCGGGTTTTTTTGCAATTTTGTACAACCTGGAATATAGCCATCATGGAACATGCTCATCAGTCCTTTAAAGACTGCCTCCACAAATAAATTTAAAAAAAGGAGGGAAAGGGTCCTTAATTTGTTGTGGGTACAACAACAGATTAAAACAGATTAAAACATTATTATTTACCTTAAATCAATTGAATGTTTCTCTTTACCTTAAGTCAATTGAATGTTTCTATTCAAAATGTAACTACTTGGGGCAGGGCTATGCTGCTGTGCTTACTCCTACAGGACCTTTGTGGATTCCAGCTCGTTGTGTCCACCCAGCCAAGGATGTTGTAGCACCACACCAGATCCCTGATCTGGTTCCAGAAATGTGACTCTACAGATGGCACAGTATCCAATCCGGGCTCATTTATTTATGCTTGTTTACAGCTGTTCTTTGGCAACAGTGGCTGTTATTCTACCCAAACACTCACTCGAGCAATGGATGAAGCAAAACTTACGGATGCACTTGGCTAACATCACACAGAATGATGTATTTTGCTTATCTGAAACCTATGATACGGAACATTTGCTTTCTACATGTTTAGTCCCTGTCTGCACTCCTTCTGCAGTAATTCAAAACTTCACTGGCTTAAGCGGATTTTTATTACATGGGAACTTTAACTATAAGTCTATATCTAGTTGGGAGTTTGCTGCTTATTATCCACCCCCTGATGCAACACCTCAATGGTATCAGTCCCTGTAAATATAACCTGTGTAAAAATAATTAATTGTACATCATTTAGTAAAAACTCTCACTTTTATCCCATTAGCTCACCTATTCTGAACTGCACAGCTTTGGAAGAGACTTTCTTTAACTTTGCCCATATTTGGCTACCGCAAGGATGGTTTTTTACATATGGTCAAGAAACTTTTAATTATATTCCTGCTGATATTAATGATGCGCAATGCTGCCTCAGCCGGCTGATTCCTGTTTTGCTTTCCAAACAACAACTTTATCCTTCGAATCTTTCTCGACGAGGGGTCACGCTAGATAGTACTTGTGACTCTGAAACGACCTTACTTAATAAAGCAGAATACGTAGTGCTAGCTTTGTCTATAGAGGGTGTGCCAGCAATTGCTGCTCGCACTCACCTTAACATTAACTCTGTTGCATGTAATTTAGCACAAACAATTAATGCTACTTCTTCAGCTATCTCAAACAATAAACCACGAAATCTATGTTGTTTTAATTTGCTTGATGTGTCATGAACCATCCAGCACTAGCTTAATATTTTACACAATTTGGCCTCGGATTTGAAAATTGATAATTTAGGATCTTGGTGGGAAAGCTTTTGAGCTTGGTTGCCCACAGGCTTAATGGGAAATATTCTACGCTATGTAGTTATTATTTGTGCTTTAATTAGTGGGTGCTGCTTTATTCAATGTCTCCCTTCTCTTTGTAACATATGTATCACAGCTTTTCACCCCAAACCCTCTCCTACATTGCCCTAGGGTCAGGTATTTGCCCTGTATAAATAACTGCAAGTGTGCTCTTCTACTGATTATTATAATCCCCTTACTAACCCCTCTTATGACTATGCCTTGTATAACAAAACAAAAAAGAGTGAGATGTAGTAGTAGTAGAGATCCTGTAGAGGGCGCATGCAGCATACTGCTGTGCCTAATGCACATGGGCCTCTTTGCATGATCTCACTCCCTGTCCCAGGCTGGTAAGTCCAGGATTTGTGCAATGATTTCACCTGTTAAGATCATCACTATTCTTAAGGATTGGTGGGGGCTTTCACCAATCCTGATGCTGTATCTATGTTGCTTTTGTCTGCCTGTAAAAATCATATGAAAAGAATAAATGCTGCCCAAGCAGTCAGACATCTTGGCACCCTGCACAATGACTGGTCTTTGAAATCCATCAACCCCCTGTTCAGGAAACCTGCTATCACACTGCTCAGGAAACCATACACCATTTCAGACAAAATAGTTGTCCAATCTCTTCTTTAAACCCCCCAGTGTTGGAGCATCCACAGCTTCTGGAGGCAAGCAGTTCCACTGGTTAATTGTTCTCACTGACAGGAAGAACCACCCTTAGGACTGAAGGTTCTATTATTCAGTGCAGACTCACAACAAGCAAATTTGAATGACTGAGCTAGCTGATGGCAGATAGATAGATCACTGAATTCTGTGAGCAATTCAATCTGCCTGCCTGCTTGGCCTGATTTGGGGTAAAAGTTGCTCTTTTTTATAAAAAAAACCAATATTTATATATTTATAATATTTACATAGAAGCCATGCCCAGCCATTCACATGACCACCAAACCACACCCACAAATTAGGCCACAGCCACGGAACTGGTTGGTGGTCCCTGGGATTTAAAATTATGAGTTTGGTGGTCCCTGAGGTCCCAAAGGTTGGTGACCCCTGTTCCAAGACTGAACAAGGAGAGATTCAACCTGGAAATAAGGAGAAATTTTCTGACAGTGAGAACAACCAATCCATGCCTTCAGAAGTTGAGGGAGTTTCATCCCCTGAAGCTTTCAAGAGGAGATTGGACTGCCATTTGTCAGAAATGGTTTTAGGTTCCTTCCGACTCTGTTAATCTGTTAGATTCCTCTTTTTATAAGAGCGTCTTTGGAAAACCTTACCCTTTCCCTCTGTCTTTCCTTTCCTTTTTCCTTCCCTCCCTCCTTTTCCTTGCCCAATCATCCCTTCCCCTCCCTCTTGCCTACCTTTTTCCTTTCCCTTTCTTTCCTTTTTCCTCCCTCTCTTTCTTTTTCTCTTCCATTTCCTTCTGCTCTTCCTTATCTATTCACCACTTCCATTCCCTTCCCATCCCTGTTCTTTTTCGTCTTTCTTCTGCTTCTTCATTTTCCCCATCCACTCCTGTGAAACTCTTCTCTGTTCCTAAGAGTCTTTTGGGGAAAACTTTCCACTTCCCTTCCCTTCCCTGCCCTGTACTTCCTTTCCATTTTCCTTTCCTTTCCTTTCCTTCCCTTCCCCTCCTTTCCCTCTCCCCTCCTCTCTTCCCCTCCCCTCTTCTCCAATCAATCAATTCCCTTTCCTGTTTAATTTCTTTCCTTCTTCTTCTCTCTCTTTTCTTCCTTTTCCTTTCCTCCCTCGCCCTTCCCATCTTCACCTGTTTATCAGTTCTTGCCTTCCCATCATTCTGCTCTTCCATCTAGAAGTGAAAATCTTCACCCAAATCTTCAATAAATCACTAGAGATGTGCTATGTGGCACATCTATTCCTTCTTGCTTCAAAAGCTCTTCTATCATCCCAGTGCCAAAGAAGCCCTCCATCAGGGAACTAAATGACTACAGACCAGTTGTTCTAACATCTGTAGATATGAAAACCTTTGAAAGGCTAGTGGTGTCTCACCTGAAAACCATCATAGATCCACTGTTAGATCCCATGCAGTTTACATATCGAGCAAATAGATCTTCAGATGATGCTGTTAACATGGCTCTGAATTACATCCTACAACACTTTTAATCTCCAAATACCTACACAAGGGTCCTCTTTGTAGACTTCAGTTCAGCATTCAATACCATCATTCCAGACATTCTATCATCTGCACCACTATAACTGCCTATCAACTGCACCTCTATAACTGTCTGGTTTGGTTCTGCAACCCAACAGGACAGACACAGACTTCAGAGGATAATTAGGATTGCAGAAAAAACAATGGCTACCGACCTGCCTTCCATAGAGGACCTGCACGACTCAAAAAGAGGGCTGTGAAAATATTTACATGCCCCTCACATCCTGGACATAAGCTGTTTCAACTCCTTCCCCCAAAATGATGCTATAGAGCACTGCACACCAGAACAACTAGGCACAAGGACAGTTTTTTCCCAAAAGCCATCATTCTGCTAAACAAATAATTCCCTCAATACTGTCAAACTATTTACTAAGTCAGCACTACTATTACTATTAATCTTCTCATCACTCCTTATCACCCCTCCCCCCCTTGTGACTGTATGACTGTAACTTTGTCGCTTGTATCCTTACGATTTATATTGACTGTTTCCGAGTATGACTTGATTGCTTATTGTACCCTATGACTAGCATTAAGTGTTGTGCCTTATGATTCTTGATTCTTGACGAATGTATCTTTTCTTTTAAGTACACTGAGAGAATTTGCACCAAGGCAAATTCCTTGTGTGTCCAATCACATTTGGCTAATAAAAGAATTCTATCTATCTATCTAAAAAAAGAAAAAAAATCTGGTTGGCCTCCATCTGACCAGGAGGACCAGCTGGACTTCAGGCACCTCCGGCAAAACCCAACCTCAAATCCATTCTCACATTCATCATGGAACTTTGCAGAATCAAATTTATCATTATTCTATTCTCACTTTTTTTTTGGCAGAAAGATTCCCTTAGAGTAGAGGATCACCCAAGCACACGGCCATGTTGCTTCTGTATATCCTCTCCCTGGCTGCCTCGTTTCTTCTGCGGTTCTTCATGGAAAAAGGAAGAATTGCTAAATCAGAGATTTGTCCTTGTTCTTTTTCTTTTTCAGCCAGAAAAGTTCCACTTGAAGGGCCAACTGACCAAACGCACAGCCATGTTGCTGCTGTGGATCTTCCTCTCCCTGGCTCCCTCTTTTCTCCTGCCTGCAACTGGGGAGGTGGTACAAAGTTTCAGACCCTGCAATCAGTTCTTCTTGGGTGGGAAACCCCCCAATTTGAGCCCGATAAATCCAGCCAGAATCTGCCAGAGGTATAGAAACCAGTATCGGTTTGCCACAATGTATGACAAGACTCGGCGCATCCCCATGTACTCGGCATATAAGTATAACCGTGGTGCAGGTGAACGATTAGACGAATGGATGATTGAACCGCAGGTAAGAGGAGCTCCTATCCTGAAGCTAAACATTCATCAGATAGAGGCGACCTTTAAGGAACAGTCAGTGGTTAGGAAATAAGGCAAGACAGTAGATTTAAGAGTGATTTATACATAATTATTCCCAGGGTTCCCCAGGAGCAAAGACTGTAAGAATTCGGTTTACCTCACTGTCCACATTGGCAAAGGTCTTACTTCCATCTGATTCTTTCCCCAAAGAACCAAGTTCAGAGATCACCCTGACATTTCAAGGTCAATGGGAATTCAGAGGTGGTGTTCAGCCAGTTCTGACAGGTTCTGGAGAACCGGTAGTGGAAATTTTGAGTAGTTCAGAGAACCGGCAAATCCCACCTCTAACTGGCCCCACCCCCCTCTATTCTCTGCCTCCTGAGTCCCAGCTGATTGCCTGGGTCTTCTTTGGTTGCCCTGCACAGGAGAACGGAACTGGAAAGCAGGTTAATGGGGTGAGGAGGGAATGGAGATTTTGTAGTAACCTTCCCCTGCCATGCCCACCAAGCCACACCACGTCCACAAGCCATGCCACACCCACCATGTCACATCCACAGAACCAGTAGTAACAAAAATTGAATACCACCACTGTAGTGTATTCCGTATTGGAAGATAGTTTAAGGTGGGCTTCTCAAGAACAACAATTTGGAGTTTCAATTTGCAGAATTCCCAGAAACTGCCCTGTGAGCTGGGATGCCTGGCAGATGCTGTCCAATCTGTCTTGGCGGAGTATCCCACACCCCATTCCCCATATGACTTATGACAGTTCTTTCCCCAGATTCAGGGTCTTCGACTCAGCGTTGTGGAAATGCCAATCAGAGACACTGCTTGTCTTTTCTTATTCCTAGCTTGCCCTGCCTCAGGATCACAATCGAAAAAGCATGGATTTGGAATCGACCTGTGGGATTAAGCGAAACCTCCTGGAAAGCAGCCAGGCTGTTGACCGGGATTACCAAGCGGCTGTTCGGCAGGACAGAGGACACTTGGCGCCATCGTTCCATCAACCAGATCAGGATAGCAAAGCTGCAACCTTCACCTTAACCAACATCGTGCCCCAGTTTCGTGCCCTCAATCAGGGAAAATGGAGAGAATATGAAGAACATATAAATACAGACGGGTGCCGTGAAACATATATCCTTGTGGGTTCTGTACCTGGCAATACATTAATCAATGAGAGAGTGAATGTTCCCAGTCATATCTGGGCTGCAGGTTGTTGTGTGCTTCAAAAAGGCAAAAGATCCTGGGCAGTCATTGCTGAAAATAACCAGAATAAGGTAGCCAATCTTACCTTGAGCGACCTGCAAGGAAAACTTGCTAAACACTACGGGAAGAAAACAATTGATCTTTTCAATAATGCTTGTTAACTGAGCTCCCAGAGCAAATGAAAGCAAAGTACAAACCGAGCAGCTTAGTTGTTTTACATATGGAAAGAATGCAGTTAATTTTAATTCTGGTTTGATCTGTAGCTTTTTTCTTTTTCCTGCTAAATGTTGTGAAATTCCAGGCTGTTTGATTAGATTGTGCTTCAGATTATTTAGCAACAGAACAGAAAATAAATGAATCCAATAATCAGATGAAGGGCAAAGTGCTGACGCAGCTAAAACAGGATCTTGTTTATTTGAGTTTTGAGGTTGGATGGGCTTTATGTGGTTTCAACCCATGCATAATTTGTTAAAAGAGAACCTGCAGCGGGAAGGAACAATTTTCAGTCCAATGGGCTGTGTGGGAGTGAAGAGGCCCTGTAGGAATCAAATTTGATTTTATGCTATATAACGCTTATATTTGCTACAAGTAGTCCTCAAGTTATGACAATTTGTTTGTATGATGTTATGTCAATGCTGAAAAAAGTGTCTTGCACGCAATCCTTGTATGTATGACTGCTAGAATTCTGTCTCAATAGCTTTCTTACTTCATCCAATAAACTTGCTTATCAAAGATCTGTGTCCTTGTGTGTGACTTTCAGTATATCAATCTAGAAATTTGACCATTCCATTTTGCACAATATTATCAATCTATCATCTATCTATCTATCTATCTATCTATGTTATATGATTGGGTTGTGCAGGAAAAAGGCTCATGTGATGACCCAGAGTGTAACACAAACGTAACAAAATCCAAAATGTAAATAAATGTCCTTTAATGCCGCCAACTTGGTCCCACTGTTCAATAATTCTCAGTTGGAGATAAAACTTACTCAAAAATAGTCTTCAAAAGAAAGCAATACAGTCTGAACTTAATGAGCAGATAGAGGTGAAATAAAAAACCAAAGAAACTACAATGAAGAAATTTCCACAACGGACCAGGATAAGTAATTATCAAAATTAAGGAGATAACAAGGCACAGTCTGTTGGAAGGATGCCAACCAAGATAACTTCAGCCCAAAATGAAACACACTTTGCTTCTGGCAACGCTGTGTTTTAACCGTCTCTCTTATATAGTAGTCTCCCCAGCTTCCACCAATGAGGGGAATCATGGCCACTTCCTCTCTCGTAAGCCAAGTTGTTTCCTTCTCCGTTCCTCCTTGTGTGTCCTATGATGCAGAGGTGATGGGCCTGGTTCTTCCTCTGACTGCCCAGCCGGCCTCTGCCCTTCCCCAGCCTCCTCCACAACCTCTGGAGTCACACCTCCACTCCCTGTCAGCTGTTCCTTCTCTCCCTCAGAGTCCTACTCTACCATGGGCATGACAGCTCATTGCTAATAATTTCATGTTTTTTCACTGTTTTCGCCTGCATTGATTGATTGATGGATTGATTGATTAAATGCCATTAATCTAGAGTCAAATCTTAGCAAACAATAATTCTGAATTCTCCAGTTCTTCGTGTAGAAACTTCTGGTTCCAACGTGAATTAATTCTAAAGAAGGGTGCATAGAACTGAGGCCTTAATACATTTTCCATTTTAAGTTAAATTCCATTTTCCATGCCAGCTTCTAAAAGGCAGCATCGACATTGTATAAAAGCAGGTGACATGTTGGTGTGGTTCAAAAAGAACCTCCAGATTGGTCCATTTGCTTCACTCTGGCTGCAGGAAACATTTAGCAATAAAGGCTGTTAAATTGCTATGATCTGTTTTGGTTGCAGAAAAAAACCCACTGCCTAAACCTGGATTGAATAGGTTGGCTGAAAAGGATTTTGGCCTGAATCCCTCATCATAACATAAAGGTGATGGCTTCCCCTGTCCAGCCATGTCCATCTGTAGGGGGAAGCAGTGCTCATCTCTGTTTCTTAGCTGTGGGAGCCAGCATTGTCCAAAGACATTTCCGTAATCATGTGACTATACACTGAGATGCACAGAACACAGTTATATTCCCATCAAAGTGGTACCTATTTACCTACTCTACTTTGCATGCTTTTGAAGTGTTAGCTGGGCAGGAACTGAGGCAAAGAACAGGAGCTCACCCATCATGCAATACTCTTATCTCGAACGCAAGCTGTCGGCTTTACAAGCTCAGCATCTTTAACCGCTGAACCACCGTGCCCCCCTCAGTCGTAACACAATTATTATACTTATTATCTTATTATTTTTCTTTTTATTCTTTTTTATTTCTTTTATATTGTGTTTTTCTAACCTTCTAAGCCACCTCGGGTCTCCCTGTGTGAGTAGGCAGCAATATAAACTTTCTAAATAAATAAATAACTTAACCCCAAATTCAGTTGAGTATAATCTAGTACAGATTACAGCCTCTCCCATTGGCTTGTTTTCCTAGCTAATATGTGGAGATGTTTAGAATGGCACATTAGGAAGCAAAACCTTCATAGGAAGCTGTACTGACCCACAAGTGCTAGTACTGTTTTATATACTGCACTGGTGAGACCACCCTTGGAATACGGAGTCCCGTTCTGGACCCCATGATACAAAACAGAGGTTGACACCACCGAGGGCTCTGAGAAGAGGTACAAGAATGCTAATGGGTCTGGAGGCTAAGACATGTGAAGAATGGTTGGAGGAATTCCCAGGGTTCTTCTGACAAGAAAAGCAGTGGCGGGATTCAGCCAGTTTGCACCAGTTCAGGAAAACTGATTGTTAACTTTCTGAGCAGTTTGGTGAACTGGTTGTTGGAAGAAATCATTAGGGCAGAGAACCAGTTGTTAAATTATTTGAATCCCACTACTGAAACAATTTTCTGGTTCTTGAGGGACTGTCACAGAGAGGAGAGAGTCAACTTATTCTCCAAAGCACTTGAGGTCAAGGCAAGAAATAACAGGTGGAAGATCATTATAGAGAGATCCAACCTAGAACTAAGAAGGAATTTCCTGACAGTAAGAACAATTAATCAGTGGAATGACTTCCCAAATCCACCTCTGTGCATGAGACAGGACAGTAAAAGATGTATCCTAATTCATCAGAATAAATTTGTTAATTTTGGATTTGTGATAAAGCAACGTAATATTGAAGCCAGGAGTGAATGTACAATGCTAAGTTCTGTGCCTCAGTTTGAATTACAGGGAAGGGCAAGAATTCCCCCCTCCCCCTTTGTGCACAAGACTTTCCAAATATCCTATGCTCCGGCTTTCAAAGGCTATCAAATTTGTTACTGAAGCAGGATTTCTTTGTCTTCGCATCAAGCCAGGAAGGGGCAAATTCCCCCTCCTTTTCTCTTCAGCGAGTGAAGTGCTTTGTCTCAAATTACAACTCCTAACTGGGAAGACTCAATTTGTAAAACAAAGGGAGGAGCCAGATTGACCCATCTGCCCTGCTTCTCCCCAGTTACTACAGTTGAATCTACAATTTTTAGCAACCGAAGACGATTTGCTATCTTTTTCTTCCTTTTTTCCTTCTGAGACAAAGACTGCATCTAGCTAGCCATTTCAACCAAAAGCTTCCACAGGAAGTCAGTCATTAAAATACCTCATGGTGGGAGGGGCTGGAGTTCCCCACATGCTACAAACAAAGAGCTTTCTAACCCACCCATTCTTCTCTGCTCAACTTTCAAAAAACCCTCTTGGCTGCTAGGAGGGATTCCCCCCGTCTTTCTCCATCCACCCACAGAGGCTCAGGAATCTGTCTGGATTACCAAAAGGGAATTTTAACAGGACTCTGTAAGATTTTCTGAATCTTAAAGCAGCCCACAGCAACATCTGGTACTCAAAGAAAAATCTCCCTGAGTTTCCAATGCATGTTTGCATTGATAACCCCCCTTTTTTTGAAACCATTGTGAACAATTTAATCAATTTAATTCAAATGTTCCAAGTTTACCTGCAACCTACCAGGCCCAAGTAAAGCAGCCTACAGCCCCATATGGTGGTCAAGAAGAAATCTACAGTGAAGTCAAATAATTCTTACCATTTTTTTCCTTTTCAAGAGTAGGCAGAAAATTCTCCCCCCTCTTTTTCCTTCCACAAAAAAAGTGAGACCTAAGCAACACAGCCCACAGCTATATCTGGGGCTCAAGGAGAAATTTCCCAGACTTTGATTATTTTTACACAGTTTCTCCAATGTTGACCAGAGTGTTTCTCCATTGATAATCCCCTTTGAAACTATCGTGGACAATTTATTCAATTTGACCAATATCAATCCCCCTTTTTGGGGGAAATCATTGTGCACCATTTAATCAACTTAATTCAAAGGTCCCAGGAGTAACTGCAACCTAACATGGGTGTAGCAACAGTGTCTTTCAGACCCTCTGCTGCTACCTTGTGAAGCAAGCGACCCTTACAGGCATATTTTTGCCTTCTGCTCTCAAGTCTTCAGGCTACGCTGCGCATATTTCTGCGTTCAGCCCTCTAATCTTCAGACTTCGTGATGCAACCTCTAGTGCCCCCTTCTGTCACAAGCTCACAATGCACCCTAGAAGCAGCCATACCATGTGCTGTGCTAGCATCACCCAGACTCTGCAGTGCCACCTATGTGCTCAAGTATTAAATCCAGCAGCAATTCTACCTTCTGTTACCTGCTTGCAGCGTACCCTATTACAAAAAGGAATTGCACAGACACCACTAAATTTTTCCAAATTCATCTTTTGCCAATTTGAAGCATGGCAACTTCCTCAGCCATGACAGACGTCTCTGGTATACCAGAAGACCCGAATCCTCCACCCACCCTGGTTGTAAATGTGGAGCCTAGTTCTCAACAACTGCCTTTAGACGTCCAACCCTCTGGAGAAGCCGCGATACCTCAGAAGGCCTACGACCTCAGACAGCATAGGAAGCTTACCTCACCCACAGTGAAATGCTTCAGAGAGGATTGGGAAAGGCAATATCACCGTTATGCACACGCATGGACAGAGATGGTCAAGATCTGTGACACCCCCAAAAGCAAGTTGCCCCTCGAGAGCCTCTTCCTGATGCAGAAGGAGTTAGAAGAGCACCTCACATGATGGAGAGACAATGAAAACAAGCTTAAATACATACAGTCAAACCTGGAAGACCTAGAGTTCCAGGAACACACTCATTGCTTTGAGGAGGTGAACAAAGAATGCGAAGACAGCATCCGGGAAGGCAGAAACTCCCTCCAGACCGCGATCTTCAATGCACTTCAAAAGAAACAAGGAGCGAGGGAGAAGTCCACATCTGACATAGGTCTTCAATCCCAAGCAGCTTCTTCCCACCATTCTAAGAAAGCCTTCTCCCTCCATCCCAAATTGGCTAGATCGCAGGCAGGTTCCAGTGTCTCATGCCAATTCTCTGCTGCCAGCTCTCACCATCCTTCCAGAGCATCCTCCCATCATAGCGGCACATCTAAGGCCTCCAAAGCAACAAATTATGCCAAACGGGCTGTAGAAGCTGAAGTAGAAGCTGCAGTAGCAGACTCAGAGCTACATGCCACAGAGGAGGTAACACAGCAGAAGGCGGCAGTAGCGGCTCAACAGGCCAAAGGCCAGACCAGACAACAGGCAGAAATGGCCAAAGCGCAGGCCAAATTTGAATTGGCCGAACGGCAAAGAGATGCCGCAACAAAGACGGCACGTGCCGCAGCATGGCGGAAGATGGCCCACAACACCTCCCT